GTCATGATGGGTGAAACACAGAGGACATCAACAACAAGCCACTAAGGGCCAAATGCCAGAAGGGGCAAGTGTAGCATTCCATAAAAACTGGAAAGATTCATTCATTATATTCACCATTTCCCAAGCAACGGAGGGCCTCACTCCACTCTCGCCAAATGAAAGAAGCGAAGCGGATAGCATTCAATCAAACTGGAAACAGACACATTCGTCATTTTCCAAATTTGGCAAGGAATAATGGAGGGATGGATGCCCTAAGAAGCCAAACCAAGCTTCTCGGTTGTTTCGTCACCATTTGTTTTTGTTTTGTTTATTTGTTTTTTTGTTTTTTTTGGTCACCATTTCTCGATTTGTGCTTGTCATCCTTGAAAGCGCAGGTTGCCATGCTAATCTCCTTTCTCTGTATCGCTGCAATCGTTTTAAAGGATGATGTCCTGAAGGACACATTTCTTCGATTTCAGATGACGTTGGCTACTGCAGGAAAAAAAAAAAAAAAAAAAGTACCATAGGAGATATGTCGACTGATGATCGATGAGAAGAAAAAAATCCGCTTTTGAATTCGGTAAAATTGTATTTGTGAAGCGTTAGCAACGTAACCCCAACGTTCACATACATACATCGGGGTGCATGGCACATGGCAGACCTCCTTACACAGCGACAGGTTTATGTTTTGTGGAGACTAGCGAGAGGATGAGATAGATGAGTACCGGCAAGAAGAGGAGATAGATGAGAGAGGAATAAAGCATACTTTTCCCAAAAAAAAAAAAAAGCATGCATGATGGTCGATTGTGTCCAGAGAGGTCAGCTAACAGTGCTCAGGTTAATTAGGAGTCGAAGTTTAGATCTGTGGTGAATGCTCAGGTTCGTTAGGATTCACACTTAGGTCTGTTTATCAACAATCCCATGGGATGGGTACCATTCAGCCACACACGGGCTGGGTAGTGAGTGGGTAGGATAAGTGTCATCTGTTTGCTTCTTGAGGCAAACGAAGGGCGACCATCTCTCTCCCAGCTAGGCAGCAGCAGCTTGAAGACGCCATGCCAAGGATGAAAATCCGCATTTCACCAAGGATGAAAAATCGCAGAAATATATTAATATGAGCCTTGGGCACTGGGCCCGTGTTCTATTAAAAAAAAAAAAAAAAAAAAAAAAAAAAATCGCAGAAACTTGTCGGTTAACTCCAACAGTCCCCATTCTGTTAAAAAAAACTGGCATTCAATAGCAGGGGAAAACTCGGTTTGTATCTGGAGGCTGTGTAAGAGGTGTGTTATCTCCGCCGTGGCACACACACACACACACACACACACACACACACACACACACACACGTACATGCGCGCGCGCGCGCGGTTTTCTCTGTGGAGTTGTGTGTTGAGAATATGATGACAACACAGAGAGCGCAGCACAGTTACGTGTCTAGGCTATGTTCCTGAAAGAGTGAGGTGTAAGGGGGCTCCCGGACGCAACCATAAAAGTCAGCAGAACAGAGCCATAGCATTCCATAATAACTGCCGGTGGGCTTCACACCATCATGATTACCCTGAATGTAGTCGACCTCAATTACGGCCACATTCAGTCAATTTTTCAGTCTCCGGGTGAGCATACCCTGATACTACATTCCTCTAGAGAACAGCAATTTTCCCGCACAAGCCACTCATTTTACAGCCAACTCAGGTTTCGCAAACACCTCAGTCCAAAAGTACCCCCCTTCACACTGATTCACAAAGAACTCACACCCCCCCTCTCCCCCCCCCCCAATGAAAGAAATTTTCAGCCTTTTCTTTCCTACAGAGCAGCAAATCTTCCCCTTCGTGCCTATAAACAGTTTTTTCGACATCTCCAACAATCTCAACTGAACGGCAGCGGATCCACCACGATATCCCCACGCTTCGGCTCTCTGCCTCAGCGCAACGCTGACAACCTCGTGAAGATCAAGACCGTGCGATCATATTCACTATTCATACATAGCACAACGGGGCATTAAAGCCTTGAGTGCCATCACGCTCGAGGGGGAGGGAGGAAGAGAAGCAGGAAGAGAGGGAGGAAGAGAGGGAGGGAGGAAGGAAGGAGGTGGGAAGGAGGAAGGGAGGAAAGAGAGGAAGGGGGGAAGGGGGAAGAGACGGAGAGGGGAAAGGGATGAAGGGAGGATGGGGGAAAGAGAGGGAAGGGAGGAAGGAGGGGGGGATAGGGAGGGAGGGCGGAAGGGAGGAAGGGAGGAAGGGGGGGAAGGCAGGGAAGGAGAGGGGAAGGGAAGAGGGAGGGAAGGGGGGGAGGGGGGGGGGGGGGGGGGGGGGGGGGGGGGGGGGGGGGGGGGGGAGGGGGGGGGGGGGGGGGCAACAAAGGGGGGAGAGAGGTTGTAAGCGAGGGAGGGGGACAGGGAGCGAGGGAGGAAGGAAGGAAGGGAGGGGAGGAAGGGGGGGAAGGGAAAGGGAGGGGCGGAAGGGGGAAAGGGAGGGATGGGGGGAAGCGAGGGGAAAACAGGGCGAAAGAGAGGGACGGGAGTCGACGGGACCAAGGACATATCCCAGCAACAGGGAGCAAGGGAGGAAGGGAGGAAGGGAGGAACGAAGGACGGCAGGGGAGTCAGGAGGGGAAGGGAAAAGGAAAAAAGGGGGAGGGGGAGACAGCGCGAAAGAGTGTGGGGGGGGTGTAAGTGGTCGACAGGACCAAAGAAATACCCCCAGCACGTCAACCTGCTTCCTATGCTGACGGGGGCGGAGGCAATTGGGCTCCACGCCTAAGGCGTCAAGAAGCAGCTGCCAGCTGTTATAAATTGAGCGTATAGCTTTGTTTTAGATGTAACGAGACAGCTTTGGCGATGACACCAGCTTATACACACGATGGTCAAACCACCTCCTACCGGTAGCCGAAAGAGCGCTTCAGCGCTTTACACATACTCAGCCGCTGCCAACGACACAGCAACGACCAGGTGCAATGCAATGGCAAAACTGGTGTTCTTCTCGATCCTTTGCTCTTTCTGGTCACCCACGTGGATGCATAAATAAAATGTAAAATCTATCTCCACAAAAAAAACGTATACATATATCGTCAATATATCGTCAAACAGAGCTGCCCGGCAAACCGTAGTAGGCAGAGAGGGAGGGAGAGATGAGGACAACAAACGAGGGGGGGGCTGTGACAAACTGTTTCGTCGGAGTTTCACCGACTGACTCATCAATCAGTAGAGGCTGAACCCTCAACAGTCTGCAGAATCCCCTACCTAACTGATTACACTGTAAGTGATAATCCACCTTAACCCCGGTTGTGGTTGAGCATTAATCAACGACTGGCCGACAACTGATACCCTTAGGTGGTGGGGACCACCAACCAGTGCCCTGTATATATATTGTCACACTGTCAATCGGAGCGCAAAGGTGGAAAACGAGAAAACAAAAAAAAGGAAAGAAGGAAGGAAGGAAAGCCCCGCCTGTTCATCACCTCTTACGTACAAGGCCAGCCACGTGGATGACAGGTTGAGCGCTGGCTGCCCCCATCCCCGTGTGTCACAAGGACCCACTTGCACGCAGCCAAAAGGCAAAGAGATAAAAAAAAGGAGGAGGAAACCAACGTCACAGAGGCAAGAGAAAGAGAAAGGGATCCCTTTGTCAAAGAAAGAAAGGACAAGGGAAGAGGAAGAGGAAGGCCTATCAGTCAAACAAAGCAAATGACACATCCCACAGATAAACCAATTGCCACTGTCACAGCAAAGTTAACATATTTTTTCTTTTTTCTTTTTTTCTCTTTTCTCTTTTTCTTTTTTTTCTCAATTAATATCGTGTGGTCCGATGAACCACGGATCAAATATTGAACTGATCAGAACAGATACTACACAACGTTCAAACCCCGGTTTGTTTCGATTGAAACAGCGAGAATGTCGAAACAAGACAAGGGTAAACTACTATCAGACAGAGGCAGAAGTAAGCTTACTCGAGATCCCGATCGCAGTCGGGATCTCGAAGCACAGGTACACAAAATGTTCCTACTCCTCACCTTCCATATCTGCGGAAGACTTCTTCTAGATCCCGACTGCGAGTCCGACTTGATAACCGACCAACGTAGACACGGGTCGGCGCTCGACTCCGATCGTCGTAGTACGGCATCCTGCTCTCTCTCTCTCTCTCTCTCTCTCTCTCTCTCTCTCTCTCTCACACACACACACACACACACACACACACACACACACACACACACACACACACACACACACACACACACACACACACACACACACAAGCACTCTCACACACACACACACACACACACACACACACACGCACCCACCCACCCACGCACAAACACACACACACACACACCCACACACACACACAAGAACCCATCTCCTTCTTCTCGTGAATCTGACTGAGTGCCATGAGATCAGACCTCTTAGCTACTCTCTCTCTCTCTCTCTCTCTCTCTCTCTCTCTCTCTCTCTCTCTCTCTCTCTCTCTCTCTCACACACACACACACAAAAAAAAAAAAAAAAGCACAATAGTGTGCGCTAACACACCCGAGCCGGGTAAATTTCCTCTGCTCCTCTCTCTCTCTCTCTCTCTCTCTCTCTCTCTCTCTCTCTCTCTCTCTCTCTCTCTCTCTCTCTCTCTCTCTCTCTCTCTCTCTCTCTCTCTCCTCCCCACCCACCCACCCACCCACACACACACACAAGAACCACGCCTGGCGACAGAGTACGTTTCAAACGCCACGATTCTCGCGCCAGCTAGAAGAGGAAAGCTGGTCTGCTATGTTCTAGGAGACCTGCGCGGCAGACAAAAAAACATAATCCACGAGAAAGATATATACACAAGAATCCATCAGCAACAACCATAGTCAGCAATAGCCCTACCAATTGGAATGTTACCGTACCGTCTTCACCACGGTTGAATGTTGTTCACATTATAGCTGTATCTATCTCGATACAGCTATAATGACCTCACGTTCTATTTGGGGGAAGACCGGAGGGAATGCAAACAATCAGATATGATCAGCTCAAAATCTAACTACAGTAAATCTCGTCAGTAAATATACATTTTCTTAGAGGAGGAAAGAGGGAACCTCCTCCACAAGTTCTTGGAAAATCGATGAGATTTCTCTCTTCAACAATCCACGACTTATCTCGTCGCGTCCCGCGAACCAAGTCCATAGCAAACACAAAGAGAGTCCCTCCTCCTATCGTCACCTACCGTCTTCCCCCGAACACAACGCACCCTCATTTTGGCTGTCTTTGGTCGGAAATATAACTTGTATACATTCATTGTAAGGGTGCGTTATGTTCGGGGGAAGACGGTAGCTACGGCAAAGAGCTCTGCATCCCCTACCACACCATCACCGCTTCCCCATTCCATACCCCAGCATTTCCCTCCCCTTTCTCTCCCATCCCTTTTATCCTCTTAGCCCCACCTTACTAAGCAGACATACAAAACGGCATGACTGCTGTACGATTTGCGCGGGAAAACAACATCGGTGCGCGGGAAAACAACATGGGTGCGCGGGAAGGGAAAACAAACATGGGTGATGTCCGAGACGTAACTGTCGAGCATGCCGGCGGCAATGAGGGCACAATTGTGGGCATGCGTTGTATTTGAGGGAATAGCTTATCCTTCAGTTAGATTGTCTCGAGCGTTAACCTGGAAATACACATAGACACAAAGAAATGCAGAGAAATGATAACAAAAAAGGGGAGAGGGGGGGGGGGGAAGGGG